CCCCTTGCCCTATGGATGTGCACATACCCCTTGGTACTTGCTGAGTACAGTCTGTCTGTCTATTCTTTCTGCATTGAGTCTCTTCTGTCCTAGGTCATAGTACTCTGTGGATGAAGGATAGGGCCTGGATGACGAAACCCTAGTCTGACCTTGTAGGGCTAACACTGTGGCTGATCCAACTTTCCAGGGGGGCATAACCTTCCCAAGGACCGGTGCTGACCGGCTGGAAACGGTTGGTAGGACTCGGTGGGCCTGAATGGCAGTTAGGGCTGACACACCACGCAGTCTTTAAGTGTTGAAGGCCTGTTTGAACCACTCCCCTACCGGACCAAGTAAGGCTGAGGATCTGTGTCTGACGACTCGACTGTCCCGGAGGTCAAACCCTCCCAAGGACCGGTACAGACCGGCGGGCTGCTCGGTGTGGCACAGTAGGCCGGAAAGGCTGAGTTGTGGGCTGAAAGCACAGACAAAACCAAGCTTATCACGTTGTCCTGTCTGCGACGTTAAAGAATTCTTGAGGAGTTACGGGGGATCTCCTTAAATGCCTCCTGATCAGCCACTGGTTCATTAGTGACAACCATAGCATAGGTCTAGGCTAGAGACCATAGTTGACAGGGTCCTTGTCATAATTCTGTGGGTTCTTAGATTGAGTCTATAGGTTTGTCAGTCAGGGGTCAGAGTCTACGTGGTGAGGTCTAGAACCACTAACCCGGTTGTACACTTATCACCATGGTTGGGACCCGTAGTGGGTTAGAGACTAGCCCCTATAGTAAGGAGCATCAAGAAAAGATGGCCGCCTTAGTCAAAGAGAACAGGGAGAGAAAAGAGTGTGAGAAGCAAGCGAAGCTAAAGGCTATCGCAGACGAGCAGGCGGCAAAGATGAAGAGATTGGAGGACGAGATGAAGAGAGTACAACAAGAGGAGGAAGAAAGAAGAAAAGTTGCCGAAGCAGAATCGGCAGCCGAAGAAGAGAAAGAGAGAATGAGGATTGAGAGTGGAGAAGGAAGCAGTGGTGGCACGATGAAGAGGGAGACATATATTGAGATGGAGAAGAAAATCAGCGAGTGGGTTGCTAATTTGTCGTTGGGTGAAGAGGAGGAGGCAGAGTCCTATGTGACTGAGGATGAGAGGGCTGCGCTAGCTAGTGAGCTAGCAACAATGACAGATCCTATGGAAAGGCGAGAAAGGGAGGAGGAGCAGAAATTGGCATGGAAGTTGAGGATGAAGCGAGAGAAGAAGAGGAGGAGAGAGGAAGTGAGTAAAATGACTGCAGAGGTAGCGAAGGTGCAAGCGTGCAGGCAGGAGGTGTTGGCCCAGCCGGATGATAAGGCCAAGTGGGACAATGTACTGGGGTACCTGGAAGTGTTGAGCAAGGCCTGGATGGAAGAGCGTCAGGCTAGCTGGAGCCAGGATGTAGCCTTAAGTGCCATGCGGTCAGGGTTTAGAGACTTTGCGCGAGAGATCATCACCTACATTGGGGGCAAAGTCAAGCAATTGAGAGACAATGTAGGGCAGTTTTGTGAGGGCGCCATTCAGGGTGCCAAAGCTGTAGCCGCTGCAGAGGGAGAGGCCAGACCCCGTAAGGACCCAGTGAAACTTAAGTTCCCAGATGCGTACAGGGGAAAGAAGGAAGAAAACTTTGACAACTGGGAAGCCAGTGTCAATAGTTATATTTATTTACAACACATCCTGATTGAGAAACAAGTCCTCGTGGCCTTCCAGGCCCTCAAAGATGAAGCGGCTAGTTTCGCCAGGTCTCTTGCGTGTACAGCCGGTTGTGAAAACAACCTGGTTGCATATTCCAAAGTCACCCCTCTTTCCCAATTCCTCAAGCTCCTCAAGGAGCGTTTCGTTGACCCAACGCGAGGCATTAGAGCCTCTGACAAGCTGCAAACGATCCACTCACGACAGTGGAGGAGTGCCAGGGCACTCAAGGGTACCATGGACGACTTAGTGGCCGTCCCGGACCATGGGGTCACCGAGACCCAGTTGGTCCAATTGTTTTACCGTGCCATACCAGAGGCCCTGCGTGGGCATTTCTTTGATAAGTCTCAACAGGCCGACATCACATATGATGCATTCAGTAGGGAAGTCGTCCTGTATGAGCCAAAGTCTATGCCAATTACCACCTTCTGGCACAAGGACTTGGAGAAGGGAAAAGGGTGGAAAGGGCATACCATCTCTGGCCAAGTCAAGGCCAAGGATCATATGATCCTTACCTTAGAGGAAGGTGGTACCGATGAGGTCCCATACAGTCAGATAGAGTGGGGCCTCGAGGATGCCGACAGTAGTGTGGGGCATGGGAGGTCCTATGTTGCTGTCGCGGTTGGAGTGAAGCCGCAAGGTAGAGGAGGAGGCCAGGGCCAAAGGGGCCAGGCCATGGGAGGCCGTGGGCCGGGCGCACAGGGGGTTGGCGGACAGGGAAACCGCCAAGCGGGAGGTAGGGGTCAAGGTCCCCCGTTAAATCGCCAGGGTAATCGGTCCCCGCAGCGAGGAGGTGGAAGGGCACCTCAAGGAGGATGGCACCCAGGCTTGCCACAGGGCAGGCCCTGGAAAGACTTGGGCTTGGACCAACGATTATGGCAGGAACACGTGAACATGGGTCAGTGCGTATTCTGTGGTGACCTGGCGCACGTAATAAAATTTTGTCCTATAGACAGGCCCGTTGGGCTGCCAAGCAGGCAAAAGGCAACCGCCAGTAGGGGTTGCAACTGCCCCTACTTCCAGGTCATGTGGAGAAGTGAGCGCGCGCGAACAGGACACTCCCAACCCACATGAGCCTATGGCAGAGGTTGCAGGCCCGTGCCTAGATAGCTGTCCAGAGACTGCTTGTGTTAGCGTCTCTTTAGGCACGTCCCTCATAGGTGTGGCAGAAGAGTTAAAGGAAAGGATGCCAGCCTGGGCCAAAATGAAAAGGGAGAGTAAGGGACAACTGATTTTGGTAGATGTAGAGGTGTTTAGAAGTAGAGTAGGGGCCCTTATAGACTCAGGGGCTACCTGTAGTTACATTAGCCGTAGGGCGTTGAAGAAGCTGAGGCTAGGACTAAAGGTCTAGAAGTTAGTAGACCCCATAGTCAGTGTCCTCGCAGACAACCGCACGATGCGAGTTGAGGACTACGTAGAGGGAGTCCAGGCGTACTTTCGCCTAGAGAAGAATGAAAAAGTGGAGAAAGTCCTCCATTCTTTGACTCTCCTCATACAGGATGACCTTCCTTTTGATGTAGTTTTATGAATGGATTGGGGAGAGGCAGCAAGGGCCACACTCCATTTGAGAGAGCATGAGTGTAGGCTTCCTAGTCCGTCAAGCGAGATTAAGACTGCCCGCTTGTTCCATGTGTCTGGTATAGACAACACCTTGGCACATTGTTGTCTCAGTGCTCCCGCGTTCGCGCGATTAGTCAAAAAGGAACAGTTAGAGGAATAGGTCTTTGTAGTTTATGTTAGACCTGTCACTGCGGCCCAGGAAAAGGATAGTTCCACAGATCCAACAATTGCCAAGCTGCTGGAAGAGTTCAAAGATTTGACTGAGTCGCCGACAGGAGTAGTGCCGCGACCTATCCAGCACATGATAGAGATAAAGCCTGGCAGTAGAACTCCTAAGGGTGCAGTCTACAAGATGTCCCCAAGAGAGTTAGAGGAGCTTCTTAAGCAGTTAGACGAACTCCTTGAGAAGGGTTGGATCAGGCCCAGTTCGTCTCCTTTTGGAGCACCAGTCTTGTTTGTCCCCAAGAAGGAAGGAGTGTTGAGAATATGCATAGACTATAGGGGTTTGAACGCAATTAGTGTGAAGAATGTTGAGCCACTGCCCAGGATAGACGACCTTCTAGATCGGGTGCAGGGTTGTAAGTATTTCTCTAAGATAGATATGAAGTCCGGATACCATCAGATAGAAGTCCATCCTGATGACCAGTACAAGACTGCGTTCCGGACTAGATACAGGCACTATGAGTTCATAGTGATGCCCTTTGGACTAACCAACGCGCCAGCTACCTTCCAGCGTTGTATGAATGACCTGTTTAGACCGTGGTTAGATAAGTTTGTAGTAGTCTATCTAGATGATATCCTAGTTTTTAGTAAGACCCTCCAGGAGCACCAGGGTCATCTGAGGCAGGTCTTCGAGAAGCTACGAGAGGCTAACTTCAAGATCAACGCAAAGGAGCGTGAGTGGGCCAAGACACAAGTTTTGTACTTGGGCCACGTGTTGGACGGAATTGGCATTAAGCCAGAGGACAACAAGATAGCGGTGATTAGAGACTGGCCGACGCCCCGCACATTGACAGAGTTACGGTCGTTCCTAGGCTTAGCTAACTACTATAGGAAGTTCGTGAGGAACTTCTCCACTATCGCCGCCCCCTTGCGCAAACTGCTAAAGAAAGAGGCAATCTGGCAATGGGACAAAGACTGTACGTCTACGCTCAAGAAGTTAAAGCGCGCGTTAATAGAATATCCTGTCCTCAAAGTAGCAGATCCGTCCTTGCCATTTGTCGTTACCACAGACGCAAGTCAATACGGGATAGGCGCTTTGTTGCAACAAGACGACGACAATGGCTATAGCCCCGTAGAGTTCATGTCAGCGAGGATGCCCTGTGAGAAGGTTGCTACCTCCACGTACGAGAGAGAACTCTACGCGCTCAGGCAGGCTTTAGACCATTGGAA